GAACGTTGAGAAACTGCAAGTTGCGTACTGTCGCCAATCTATATTAAAATACTGGATTTCGAGTATAAGTAAATCTTGTACGGAGTAGAAAGAACAACACAGAAAAACCTTCTGGGTATAAAAACCTTGAGCGAGGATAGCTACGAGTCTTGCAATCCCTTTGAAGGATGGCCACGTTTACCGATTACAATTTTTGGCTAACTATCCTCAGAGTACGAGATACCATTTGAATAATGGAAGATTCTGCGGTTTGAATTATTTTCTTGCGCGCGATGATGGTTGCACTCATTTCTACCCACAGTAATAGATTATGTGATAGTTTCAGCGCTCTAGAGCAAAAAAAAAATTAAGAAGGTTTACGGACTACTTGAACTCGAGCCCTTTAACTTTGGCAACATCACATATTTTTCTGCCCTCGTCTGTCGCACTCTCGGTAGATCCCATCTTTAACTGTCGGGCTTGTCTAACCAGTGGGACCTCCACGACCTGCCCGTGTTCTTCACCCAGGGTATTTTTCTCTGTGCTCTAACCTTTTGCTACCAGAGACGCAGAGCCGAGAAAAGTGCGCGTCAAGGCGCCAAAAAGTATTTGGATGGTGGTCTGGTGCGCCGAATCGTGAGACACCGAAGTCTGACTTCATTTTGTCGTGATTCCTTCGTAACTACAGTCTCCCTATAGTTCGAAATGCGTGAATACGACGACGTCCTTTTGAATGCTTAAATCGCATGCAAAAGGGGGTCTTAGATGTGATTGCAATGCAATGGCAATGTAGGAATTCTCTTATATTCCTTCTTCTTTCTGGTGGATAGTCTGTTCCGTGATTGTTGATCGTTTTATGTTGCGATTTTGTAGACTGTACAGCAAGGGACGAAGTTTTCAATGATTAAATTATTTATTAGGCTTTATACAAGGGAGATGAATGTATATCAGCCCCACATAGTTGCCGCACCAAACGAGCACAAAATTCCTTTCCCCGCTCATGTCAGCATTTCAAAAGTTCAGGTACGTTGCTTTTTTGTCTCATTTTAATCACTGATAGTTCTCATTCTTGTTATTCTAGTTTTGTCGTGAATACGGATCACGACTTGTGGCCGCGTCCGGATGGGATGGAACTGTGCACATCTATAGCCTTGGCAATAACGGCCACTCGGAGGAAAAGCGGTACTACTATCATGGCAAACCTGTACTCGCTTTCACCTTTACGGTTTGTCGTTCTTCGGGATTTTTGCAAAACAATAGACATTTGCATATAAATGTTCTAAGTTCAGGGTAGTAGCAGAATTGCCAGTGGCGGCCTCGATCAAGTTATGAAGTTGGTCGATATTGAAACTGGGCGAGGTTCACTTTTACGCTGTTTTCTTATGTAAGGAGCTGAGCTGAATTTATTGCTTTTTCAAGAGCTGAATATGGGAGCTCACGCAAATGGCATAAGATGTATGGAATATAACCCTCAAAGCAGTGTTGTGGCTACTGGCAGTTGGGATTCTACAGTGAAGGTTCGTAATAACGCTTTTCCGCAAGATAGTTTATAACGTTTCTTTTAATACTTGGCCCCTTTCAAGTTTTTCACGACGGTTTTATTTTTTTTTGAAGCATGTGAACTGAGTTTTTATTGGTAGGGCGCGTGGTATGTCGCTGGTTCCGTGCGGAGAACGTCCGTTGCGCGTGTCCGTCGAAAGTAGTTCACCCCGCCCACTTCGCGCGCGGCGCATCACACTGAGGTACCAAGATCACATTACAGTACCACCAAGTGTCATTGGAGCAAATGATTCGCATTTGTCTGTGTTATCTCCTTCTTGAACTGACTGCCGTGGACCAAACGCAAAGCGTATGCCCCAGTGACAATAGCGACGTCTGTCAAATATCGCGGGCCGAACTCGCCGCGTGCGACGGCTGCGGCGTGACCTAGTTTCGACGGACACGCGCAACGAAGCGCACCCGGTTCCGTGCTCACTCCCATAGCGTGGTGTCCAAGGCTAAGGCGTATGTCAACGCAGGAATAACCGCAGAGTCGAAAAGATAAGCGCGGAACAGGCTACTTCACTATTCCCTCGATGTCATTAAATGTTTACCAGGTTGAACGCTTAATCAGCCCGAGAGTCTCTGGAGAGAGACGTCCCTTGACAACTTGTATAGATCCCGCTTTCCTACCACCATCTGAAATTGTTCGACGAGAGGATGTATTCTTCATCAACAATGTCAGCAACGGATTCTCCTCATAAATTCGCAGGGGAAGCGAAAGGGTCACAATTTGGGACAGTCTTGGGCTTCGTTTCCCAAACTTCACAGCTTTCTCTCCAGACGCTAGAGAACAGAGCCCAGCGCGAAAGAGATGATGGTCCGATCCCGTGCGGAATTTAGGACCAAAGCGGCATCAGTATGTCAAAGCCTTCGATTGGAGATGTGTTCTGTTGCATTATGGAACTGTATATCAGGTGACTCCAAATCCATCGGTTTGCGAGCAAAGCTGATGTGTTTTATACCATCTGAAAGCGCGACGCGATTACTTTAGCCACGGTTCGGTACCATTCTCAATCGCAGAGGTCCGATTCGGAGTGGGTCGTCATCTTTGTACGATCCGACGTTTATGGCCTAGTGTGTGTTGGCGAAGGCGCCTACCCTAACCATTGCCTCTGCTGCAGTTTGTTCAAAGGAGCAGCCGTCTTTATTTTCGAAAACGGCATGCAACGAGCGATGTATCGCCTTCCCTTTCAGTCCAGTAACGTCATACCTGGTTTTGTTTGCATCATCGGAGCTTCGTGATAGGATTCCGATGCATTTGTTTGCCGAAGGTCAAAATCTTATCATTAGTCCTTCGTCTCGTGGGCAGCCGATCAGGGCTGTGAGTAGTTAGCAGGCTTTGTGAAGGGTCCACGTGCCGCATAGGAGGTTACACCAGGTCCAGAGAAAAAGAGCCCATTCAGTTTTGGTATATGGTACACACGAGTATCATGCCAGGTTTTGACGTGGAGGCTGAGGCGACTGCTGACTGCTAGCCAGGCTGTTCTAGGTAAAAAGAAAGTTTATTCGTTGACGACGCCTGTGAGAAGATAGGCGATGTAAATTGAATCAATACTGCAGGAACACCGAGTCCATCTCCAGAATCTACCTGTGTCTCTGTACAGGTACCGGTGACTCTTGCTCCGCGACTTGCCCCCGGTTCAGCATCTGGTGTTTCTGGCTGGTTGGCTGGCTAAAGTTGCTTTGGTTAGAGAATCTCTTCTATATTACTGCTGCAGCGTCTTATCTTACGCTTCTGACGCATACATCGAAAAAGAACATCAAAGAATTCAACGTTCAGAACAAATTATAGACAAAGAAACACGTTAAAGCACGAAAGTCTACAGTTCAGTGAGAAGGTAATGACTCTTGAACAGAGCTCAACTTATAAACTGATTCTCCAAGACATGTTTTTTTAGTGGGTAGTAATTCGTGGCAGTCGTGCATGAGATACTGGCGCCCTCTATCACAAGCATGGACCGGGGATCGAATCCTTGTGTGATGTCCTCCGAGCCAATTGTATATTACATGTACATTGAAAGCGCCACCACAATTTTCTAATGGAAGTTAATCATCCCTGGATAGGGATTAATCAACGCTAGAAGACTATCCTTTGTTTTTTAGTTTGCCTAAAAAAGATAGCTTTTGTTTTATCAATTACAGTTGTGGGATGCTCGAGCGACGACTATTGCTGGACCGATGCAAAGCGTAGGCACTGGAGATCGTGTGTATGCCTTAGACGTTCTCGGCGACAAGATAGTTGTTGGCACGCGCGACAGGTTGTTTTTTCTTGCCTTGTACCAGTACTACTACTGCACTTGTATTGTTCATGGTCGATCGATGGCGTCGGCTTAAATCAGCGACGCTTTCGATCGAGTTTCACAGGTCGGCTTTTGCTGCCTTAAGAAATCTCTAGGGTAGACAAGTAGCTATGGATGAGTTCATGCGCAGGAAGGGAAGGCACTGGTTAGATGAGACGGTTACCTGGTGCAAAAAGCTGGGATGGGGCTAGAGTTGAAGAGACAGTCCACTACCCTGCTCTTTCCCTCCTTAGGCTCAATTTAGAGGCTTGAATAAAAAACATTTTCTCTGCTGGGAAGCGTCCCTAGGCACCTTGGTGGGCTACCATCGGATCTCCTTCTCTCGCTGGCGTTTTAGCTCTCAGTGTTGAAAGAGCCTCCCCATCCTTTACTCCCTCCCCCTTCTCCCTGACTCACTCCCCAAACATATTTTCACCAAAATTTCTGAGTGCACTTTCTCCTCTGTCACGTATTATGCTATTATGCGTAAAATCGTAAACCATGTCATGATGTTAGCAAAGTCGCAACTAATTTTCGTAGAGAGCTAAATTTCAGGAAGATCCACTTGCTCGACATGCGAAATCTTGGCACTCCAGAGCAAGTACGAGACAGTCCATTAAAGGCAAGTTAATCACGTTGATGGCTAAAAAGCACAATTGTTTCAATTAACGAACGATGAAGGACCCTTCGCCCAACGATTGTTTTAGGTTTTCCTCTCACAATTTTCATTCCTTTCTTACTTTTCTCTTTATTGTTAACCCTTCACTCAGTCTTTTCCAATCCTATAGCCTATTTGTTCCCGTTGACCAGTCATACATTTCGGCAAAGTGTTTAAAACATTTGCTTGAAAAGGGTTGGGGGTAGATAGAGTACCTCTCGCTCATTTAACTGTTTTTTTTTNTTTTTTTTTCTTTTTCTCAAGCGACATTTTTAGTACCAAACTCGAAACGTCGCCTTCTTTCCGACTGGTGATGCATTTGTCGTCTCGTCCATTGAAGGTCGTGTTGCTATTGAGTATGTGAATCCTTCACCAGAAGAACAGAAGAAGAAATACGCCTTTAAGTGCCACAGGTTCGTTTTCATTTTGACTGCTCAAGAAATAATCGTGCAATCATTGCGTGTGCGTGATTTGATTTTCATTTTGTTCCTGAAATCGAGATATTTATAATAAGTTTTTTTGTTTAGGAGTAAAGAGGATGGTGTGGAATGCATATACCCTGTGAATGCTCTCGCATTCCACCCAGTGAACGGCACGTTCGCCACCGGCGGTGGGTTATTTTGATGTTCTTATATCATGCTTTGTCTGATGCCTCCCTTTTTACTGGGTACCGAGCGTTCTTATTTTTTACCATTCTCCCTAGAACTGTATGCAATGGTTTCCTTTTGAGGTTCCGACGCAGTCGTCAACTTGTGGGATCCCTTCAACAGAAAACGCTTGGTTCAACTTCATAGGTATTATTCTTTTTTCATGGATACCTGGTCGGCGCTAATTTTATTTAATTATAGGTTCCAAACATCTATCGTATCGCTGTCGTTTAACTATGATGGCTCGCAGCTGGCCATTGCTTCATCCTTCGCGTTTGAGTACGAGCCAGCACCCAACCCCATGCCAGAGAACACTGTCACTGTTAGACACATAAGTGACGCGGAGAGCAAACCAAAATGAAGCGCCGACAAATATTTTTTCAGCATGTTGTATTCACAATTACTTTCACTATGTTCAAAGCCTTATCCCTATCAGCCGTCGCGATTGAGCAAAACGCATTCTTTGATATTATTCGCTCGATTATAAGTGATAATCTCCCCATTTTCCCACCACAACTTGTCGATCTCAATTCGCAGTTTTGGACTCGGTTCGTTAGTAGCCTCGTCATGTGATACAATTAAAACCTTTGAAGGGGTTAAATGTTCATCTTATTAAAAAGTAACATAAACTGAGGATCAAGTTAATGCTCTCGAACAAAATAAGGAAGAATAGATCCAAAGCGTCGAAAATTTTAGTCCAGTGCAGGTGGAAATCATTTTTCGTCTTCAGCCATTCTATCTCCGTCGTAATCATCTTAAAGTACGTGGTATAATTTGATATGATGGTGAACTGATAGTGGTTCAGGGAAAGCGCTCATGGTATGTTAGTAAGTGGTTGTCGCAAAAACTATTCCAGTAGCATGGTTTTCGTCTTTAGTATGCTTAACAAATCTGAATGGGGCAGTCGAAGGTGAACGGAACAGTAGACGGTGCCTGGATAGACTTCGATTACAAAGAAACCGAGTAGCTTCTTACCAAGGAGGGGTTGTCTACTTACCGTGGGACTTTGAATGGGGACCCAGATAGATCGATAGAGTTTTGAATGCTGTTTACGAAAATGGAAGTTAAAACTGCAAAATGGTTTTCCTTAAAAAGTTATGGGGGCTCGAAATTTGCTTGGCAATAGTACTATTGGATATACGAACTCGTCGCTACGTTATCAAGCGTTTGCTCCCCGACATCGTCGGCATTTTTGCAAGGTGTTTTTTCATTTCTTTAAAGGCTCTCTAAACCTTTTCTAACATTTTTTTAAGTGAACACCTTATTTCTGCTTTTATTTTCTCTCGACGCCCCCATCCAAGGAAGTATGGTTCTGCACCTTAGTTGTGTGACTCTATGTATTTGAAGAATCATTTAACAGCAAGAGAATGTATGCAGCACACATGTTGTTCTCTAACAGCACACCTTGTACATGATCTTCTTCTACAACCGGAGACGAAACGGTCATTTGTCTCAAGATTTTCCAAATACCAAGTGTGATACGTCAGTCTAGATTTTCAACAACATGCCTTGCGTCAAGAGCATTCCCCTTCGACCACTAGATCTAGAGCTTTGAAGATTTTTCAAGTTTGATAAAACTTTGAAATGTTGAAAACCCAGACTCACGTGTCACACTTGGCGGGTGTTTATTGAATCTTGAGACAAATGACTGTTTCGTCTCCGGTTGTAGAGGAGGATCATGTATAAGGTGTGCAGTTAGTGAACAACATGTGTGCTGCATACATTCCTTTCAGCTTTTCCTATTAATGCTGAGTTCTTCACAAGCATCTTATACATTTCTGGCACCTTGCCGTTAAATGTTTCATCAAGTCGAAAATGAAATAGAGTCACACAATTAAGGTGCAGAACCATACTTCCTTGGATGGGGACGACGAGAGAAAATAAAAGCAGAAATAAGGTGTCCACTTTAAAAATGTTAGAAAAGGTTTAGAGAGCCTTTGAAGGAATGAAAAAACACTTCGCAAAAATGCCGACGATGACGGGGAGCAAACTCGCACCCTACGAGTATGAAGCGAAACCAATACCCGTTTGCGCTTGATAACGTAGCGACGAGTTCGCATACCCAATTGTACTATTGCCAAGCAAATTTCGAGCCCCCATAACTTTTTAAGGAAAACCATTTTGCTGCTTTAACATCGATTTATCTGGGTCTCCATTCAGAGTCCCACGGTAAGTGGACTACCCTTCCCTGTTTAGTTCACAAGTTTACTTTTGGAAATTAAGGCCTGCAACATCAAATTGGTTCCATTACCCTGTCCAGTAGTCGAAGGTGGATAAAAAAGCGACTACAGCAGCGAATCCACAAAAATCATATAACAATAGAAGAGGAACCAATAAGGTATCATGCAACAGTGGCAAGGCATTTGAAGTAAATTTGGAAAGTCAAGAAAGTGCAGAAACAGTTGCACATGTGCAGGTGGAGGAACAGCAAGTTGTGTCCATGTCCTCTGTTGAAGGAGCTGAATGACAGGTCCTGCTCAACCCACCTTATTTGAAATTCCCCTACTTTTTGCTTACCACCTTTTGCGGACCCTTGATGTACCCATGCGTCAACAACTTTATCAGAAGTATATCGAGGGAGCCTATTTTCTTTCTCTCGCTCCCAAACTTCTAACGCGGCGGGATATATCCTCTACCAAAATGATGGAGGGCGACTGTTTGCTGGCACTAATGGTGCTAATTTTGATTGGTGAAAATTTGTTAAAATTTGTTTAAGCCGATTTTAAAAAAAAGTTATCTTTGCGACCATTAATAGTGCTGCGGCATGGAGTTCGCCTGGGTTCGCCAAACTCGGCTGTTCTTTGTAGATCCGAGTCTCCCACTCTTTCATATGCACATTCTTCATTAGAACGGCACCTCTTTGGACAGCTGAGATGAAAAACCCGGTCTAGTGGTTTCCCCAGTATGATCCCTTTGTGGTGCAAGGGTTACTCTTCGCAAAAGCATAGAAGTTGTGTATAGGTTCTATACTGAAAAGATTCACTTGTAAAGTCTCCCTGAGCTCATCCATCGCATTTCGTTCTTCTCTCCACTGATGGGCGGATATCAGGGTTTCTATTCCGAGCTTGTTGGGCTTCTGAATGCACCATAATTAACAGAAATTGGGAAATACTCACAGCTCGATGTCTAGAGAAGAATCGAATACCTCATTCTTTCTTCGATTCTTGTTCTTTCCAGCTGGAAGAATGAGCTGCCTAGTGAGTATGCGTTGATGCGCGACTAAGAGGACAACAGTCACTACTACTCCAACACAGCACAGCAGGATCTCAGCAAGAACGAATGTAGCTGAAAGGAACCGCGTAAGCGACGTTCTTGCTCTCTTATACATCTCAAAAACTTTTTTGAGCATGATTGTACTGTGTTGTAAAATCCTTCACTAACGACGCAGTTGCTCTTCAGAAAGAGCTTTGCAATCCCAGCACTGAACCCTTTGAACATCCTTGTGAACTGGGCTCCTACAGGAGATCCAGTCATTTTTGGATAGTTCGAGAGAGCAGGTATTTTACACCGATTCAGGTGTTGGAAGGCCACCCACCCAATCGTGGTAGAGCGGACGATTTTGGCATGTCGTCACCAATGATGTTGAGAATAACGGCTAATGACAGAAGTGTTGTTAGTCCAAGTGTCGTCTGAATTGCTGTGATTATTAGATGGCCAATGGATGCATTCAGACTTCAACGACCGACCGACCGACGGCGGTGGCTGACCTCGTGGTGGCAACACTGGACAGATTGCGTGCACCTGTCGGTCGGTCGGTATTTCGATGAAGTTTGAAAGCAGTCAATGGCGTAGAGGCTCCACTCACTCTTTCTGTTCGTTCGCCGGCATTGTTGAAGGGGATGAACAAGCCGACCAAACAAAGAGCCGTGGTGATGAAAGTAGGAAGAAAAAGTACGTAAACGTAGTACGTCGAATGACGCTTTATTTTGATCGAGTAGTGCAGCTCCTAAAGTTCAAGGGCAATGTGGGAATGGGAAGGGAAGTCAGAACAGTAAGCGGAACCAACCTGGAATGTCCTGTTGTCTTCACCTGTAGTCAATAGTGTGTCTATGGTAACTGAATTGACTTCCCATTCGCTGTTGCCTTGATACTGTAATACAAGGCTCATCGGCTTTTAGTGATGTTACTTTTCTTAATTCTGGAGCAGAAATAATGCAATGTGTTCATTCACAAAGTGTATGATACCCGCTAACAACAAGTCTTTTACAAAGTGTTTGTTGACGGATGTGTGATTTCGATAAAGACGTTTCCGAAGGCCTTCAAGTGTGTGTCAAATGTCAAGCCTGAAGGAGATGTTCGTACAGGGGCCGAGATCGCCGTGTGTTTAATGACTTCAAAGTGGAGGTTAATATAATAGATAAACTCTTTCGGCTTTAATCAACCCTTTCTGAAGGATGCGCTCCCGCACCGACTTCCATTCAGAATCGTAATGGCGGATTTAGTGGGTATGTGACTTACATATTGTCTTGCGGTGGTCAGCCCATGTACAAGTCAGTGCTTTTATCCTCCCAGACGACTCTGGTACCAATAAACCAGTTCAGCACCGGTTCAATACCCGCATGCTCAAGTGTTCGAGTTTATCGCCCGATTGCCGGGGAAAAGGCAACATCGATCTGATCCCATTATTGTAATAGTAATGTACTTTAGATTCTAGAGACAAAATCGTTTCAGATAAATTCGAAAATCGGGTTGAGGTGGTATCGCACTATAGCGGGTAAGAGGTGGAAGACTTTTTAGTCGTAGCCGCAGAAACTCACCTTTCCACTCGACAAATCCAATTCATGTAGTGGAGCACTGATAGTTAGTTCATCGTCTGTATATACCCAAGACGAGAATTTGGCCTTGCACAGCTGCTGATCAAATGGAAACTTTGCAATCTGAAACAATGCAAATGTTATGAGGCTGGAAGGTACCGCAGTGAATAGTGCAGACTGACTCGAGTTCCATAGGTTGGGCAGTATTTGCTAAACTTCGGGATTAAACTTTTATATTATAAGTAATGGCATTTTTGTTAATGTGCTTACCTTCTTGGGTTCCGAATAAGCATATTAGCCGGACACATTTAGACTACGAGTAAGGCACAGTTCACAATAAAAATAGTTCCTAAAATTTCTTCCGGAATGAACCTGTGACCCCAAGAATAGCACAAGAGATCCGTCGAGTCGAAATGTGCTAGATAGGGCGTAACATGGGCTCCAATATTGACTCATCGGACGTACATGTTCAGGGACGAATGAGTTCTTACAAGGAAGGTCTTTCAGGGCGTGGGACGCTTTTTGAAAATGGTTTTTTGCATGGCATAGGGGCATGAGCACTTAGTATAGAACTATGGTCCATTTCCGCTAAA